TCAAGTAGAAAATTTTCCTCCAGCTCTGCCCCTGAATGAAATTAGAAGCTAGTACAATTATATGCTAAAGTCAAACTTTTGTTAAGAGGTGATTCGACTTTTTCATATATCGTGCTATATTATTATTAAAAATAATTTTTTTAGAGAATAAGTGATTAAAAAATAGAAAAAAAATTTATGAATTTATGTGTAAAATTATTTTATTAGAAGAATATGTGATTGAAATTGAGTTTAAAAAAATAAATTTTAAAGAATCTATATGAAACCGGGGCTGATTAGCTAGTTGTTAGATTTTGAGACGAGTGAAATTGTGAAGCCAAATCTGACTAGAAAGGATTTGAAGAAATTAATAAATATTAATTGTTTAGAAATAAAACAAAGCATTTATTAACATCTTTTGTTAAGTTGTTAACCGAGTCGACACCAAGGGAAGTATCTTTACAAAACATTGTGTAAAATAAAAGGGAAAAAAAAGGAAAAATGAAAAGTGAACAAATTAAATAAGTTGATTCACTTTAAATAAAATAAAATAATATTACTGTTAAAATCAAATGGATGCACTTTGAAAAAAGGAGGATCTCGATATCAGCTTTCCCATAAAGGAGTCTGGCCAGGTCAATGAATGCCTTTGTCCCAATGGCACGCTATTATGTATATTATTATTCGGCCAAATTACGTATAATTTGCTATTAGTAGTAAGCGATTACAAATAGTATAAATATAAATATAGAATGAAAAAATTAGAAATATTAACACTGTTATGTATATATAGTATGTGTTTGGTAGGGATTAAAATTAGATTTTTAGTGGATTATGATAGAAGTTTTTGAAATGTGTAGTTAAAAAGTTGTGAGACCCATGAAAGATATGGTTAATATTGATTGTTTGATTTTGACTTAAATTAAACCATGATTTTAATCAGAAACAAACAGGGCCTTAACTTGGCCGAAAATTTTTATTTCATTCGTTTTTACATTTTATATCGATTTGTTCACAATTGTTTGGCATGGTCCACGCTGTGTGTGAGGGGGCGTATTAGAATCCCACATTGTTTGGGAAAATATAAATGATCTACTTTATAAGGTGAGGGCAATCCTCTCCTAATAAGTCAGTTTTATTAGGTGGAGTTAGACCCAATATTCCTAACATTTACTACATTTGAACATCGGAACACGGCCATGCAAGCACGAGACAAATAATGACACCATTAATTTCTTGGATGGTGGAAACATATACTTTAATTTCATGTAAATAATTTGTACGAGCCAACTTTTTCTTTTTGAAAATGGAGTTTTTGGATTGGATCTTTTGAGGGTATGCTTTATACATTGACATAAAAGAAATTGAACTTTTTTAAAAGTCTTCTTTTTGTATTGCTCCAATTGAACTCTTGATTTTATAAGCTCTCAAGTTTTGGAACTGTGGATGCAATAATGCATCACACAGAACTTTAGTTTGTGAGTTTCTGATTGGTTAGTGAATATATAAAATAGGAAAACTAATTCGAATTTGGGGATTTAATTTATTTTTATAAAACAAAAGTGTAATGTGGTCTAAACTTTATTGATTTGAATTTGGGGATTTAATTATTAGTTTTTTGGGTTATATACTTATTAACTGGTTATAAATTTACAATATTTGGCGATCATTTAATTCTTGTTACTGTTATTTTTCTTCACTGTTTTGTAAGTCTAACATTTTTTATATATTTTCAATTAAATACAAATTAAGATTTATATAAATATGGCCTCGAGAATAAATGAATTGAATATATGACTAAAAATAAAATGGTAAATAAAAATATGTCAAATTTTCGTTGTTAAGATTTGGGGTTTCATCTTAAAATGTCAATCTTATTAAGAAGAGTAACTCAATCTCTTATAAATTAGTGTATATTTTTCATCTTTACTCGATGTGAGATTTTTCCCTTAACATGCCCCCACAAGATGGTGGCTCATTTGAGCAGACCAATCTTAAAATTCGTGTGCTCAATTTTTATTTTTATTTTAGTTTTAATCGGATCGAATTGCTCTTTTCAGTTTAACGGGTTCTGATACCATGTTAAGATTTGAGATTTCATCTTAAAAGGTCAACCTTATTAAGAGGAGTAACACAATCTCTTATAAATTAGTCTATATTTTTTATCTTTATTCGATTTGAAATTTTATCCCTTAACTTTCGTTACCAATTACACCAAAGAAAAAACAAATTGAGTATATCTACAATTATAATTATTAAGTAAAAATCTGAAGTCTAATAACGAAAAAATAAATTCAAAACATACTAATAGCTAATTAAGTAAAAGAGACATGTAAAATATTTACGTTGTTTATTTAAACACGTGATTAAGTTCTATATTTAATCAAATAAGGTTGATTACACTTTTGGTAGGATGTAAATTTATGGCATATTTGCCATATATCTAATAGTCTTGAATTCATATATGGAAATTTCCATTTGTACAGAAGAAAAACATTACATAAGCCTTACACCCTCTCACATGAAAGTGGGTCCCACACAATAAATAAATAAATAAATAATATCCACTCACCCCGCCCTTGTGAGTATCGGTAATGCTTCTGTATTTGTACATGTAGCATCTCTCTTTATATATTTGTCCCGTACAATGAATTAAGGATGTTAGCGCTAGGCCGTACTTAAAAATAAGTTAATCTAAATTTAAGTTATTTATTTGACAAACATAATTTTTAAGTTACTTTTTATAAATTTTAACTTGCTTTATATAAAATAACTTTAAATACTTTTTTTTTTTTTTTTTTGAAGAAAGGAAGAGGTTGCTTTCTCAAAAGCCGCAATGTATATCGTAATGGCACTAACACACCAACACGACAGTCCAAAGGTGTTAAAGAATGGAAAAGAGAGTTCATAAAGTCACAAGTGTCTTGCAAATTCCTCATTTTCACACTTTCACCTAACAAATTACCTAAACTTTTGGCTTTTAATTCTTCATTTGTTTCAGCATTGCTACACAAAGTTGAATACTTTTATCCTTCAAATAAGTTGCCCACAAGAAATTACAACCTTATTTTATTAAAAGTGATTTCTCTAGGTCACATTTGAAATTTGCGTTGTAAGAACATAATTTATTGTGTGACAACGATCGACTAGAAAAATTTGAATCTACTTTCTCTACGTCATGCACATTTATAATTTGCTTCAAAAAGATCTTACTTTAGAGATCGATTAGGTAACATTAGTTGAATATCGATGTAACATTCTCCACGGAATTTTTTTCTTATACGTATCAGTCAAGTAGAAAATTTTCCTCCAGCTCTGCCCCTGAATGAAATTAGAAGCTAGTACAATTATATGCTAAAGTCAAACTTTTGTTAAGAGGTGATTCGACTTTGATATATCGTTCTATATTATTATGAAAAATAATTTTTTTAAAGAATAAGTGATTAAAAAATAGAAAAAAATTTATGAATTTACGTGTAAAATTATTTTATTAGGAGAATATGTGGTTGAAATTGAGTTTAAAAAAATAAATTTTAAAGAATCTATATGAAACCGGGGCTAATTAGCTAGTTGTTAGATTTTGAGACGAGTGAAATTGTGAAGCCAAATCTGACTAGAAAGTATTTAAAGAAATTAATAAATATTAATTGTTTAGAAATAAAACAAAGCGTTTATTAACATCTTTTGTTAAGTTGTTAACCAAGTCGACACCAAGGGAAGTAGCTTTACAAAACATTGTGTAAAATAAAAGGGAAAAAAAAAAAAGAAANTTTATTTGTTAACTAAATGGTAGTATTGTCTTTTAAACAAAACAATATTTTGTAATTGTTTTATATACTTAAGGGCATTTTTGTCTTTTTTTCATCAAATAAGCTATTGTGAAAATATGAAGAAGTTGAAAGGCACTTTGACTGAGTCAATTTTAAAAGTACCCCACCATCTATTTTCTTAAAATATTGTTTGTTATCATGTCATGCTCAGTACCAGTACTGTATATAAAACACGCCTTAATGGGATTGATTTCAGAGGGATTTCATTTAGAGGGTGTTTGGTGAGGATTAAACTTAGATTTTTAGTAGATTGTGATAGAAGTTTTTGAAATATGTGGTTGAAAAGTTGTGAGATCCATGAAAGATGTGGTTAATATTGATTGTTTGATTTTGATTTAAATTAAAATCTGATTTTAATCCGAAACAAACAGGTATTAATTTCACGTGTTAAATTTTTCGTTACTATTTGTTGAGGTAATACCTTTCTAGTTTCTTCTTTACATTTTAAGTAACGTGTTGATGTAGGAGGATTTCACTGGAATATTTTGTCAAAACTGCGAACTTGAAAAAGTGCTAAACATTTACAAAAGAAAAACTTAGGTAAGCATCTTCATGAATGGTGTCGGCTTTGTCGAGCTAGTCTCAAGCATTGTCGGCTTTGTCGACTTGGACATTCTAACACTAAGTTTGCTTCTTTCTAGTGCCCTCAAGTGAGATCTAGCATCTCTAGCTCAACTTCCATAGCATGAGACCGGGCTTCAAGCTCAACGACTCTCTTGTATAATCATGACGGTAGAAGATTAATAATAACATCCTTAATTTCGGAAGGCAAGGTACAATTTACCTTGGACTTTAACTTGGTCAACTTCTTGCTTTTTCTTTAGGACATGGGCTACTTGGCTCTTGGAGTAACACTACCAGTTGTTGAGTCCATTGAAAACTAATTTTAATTACTCATCTTAAATAAAATTTGAAGACAAGACTCCAATGTTGTTAACAAAATTATTAAAATTGTCCCTGTTTTCTTGTAGCACAAGGAAATATTCAAAACATTCATTACATTATTTTTTCTCATAAAATTTCTTGAATACAGCACATTCATATTCATAATAAATGGACAGATCCCTTCACAGATTCTCGATTTCTCATGCTCATCAAAGGACCTGGATTTATCATTTCTGCATGCATGAAAAATCTGGCACCGCCAAATTAATCTGAAACCAACTCACAATCAAATTTACTAATTCAAGATTATCCAAAGTAAGCCATTCCATTTTGCTTTTTCAAATCCTTATAGAACATCATCATGAACTTCTCAGCAGCTTCATCTACGTGATTATCCTCTTCGGTATCCCTCAATGGAAATGGAGAATCTGTAATCCTGAGTTGCCTCACCATAGGGCTCTTCCCGAACCCTGGCAAGGCCGGTGACGCCGCCTCGCTGTGGAGCATCTCCAAGGCTTTCACCAACTCATTAGCAATCGCAAAATCGTCGGCCATGGGTGGGGCGTGGACGCGGCGGTGCCTGCTGTGTTTGAGCTTGTTGAGATTAAAGGGGATATGGAAATTGGGATAAGCAGGGCTGTTACTGCAACTAAACTCGTATTCAGTGATTGAGACAGGGAACGACAGATTGCGGTTGTGTGGGCGGCGTCCGGAGGCGGCGGACCATTGGTGGAACATGAGATTTTGAATTGCCTTGCCGGCAATTTTTCCACGTTTCATCAACATGCTAAGATCTGCCAATAATTTCCCCTTTGATATGCCTTTTCTCAACATGAAAAACATCACNGGGGGGGGGGGGGGGGGGGGGGGGGTGTCTCTTGAGAGAAGATCGTTTTGAATGTTGAATTAGGCATATGAGAGTGGTTTATAAAGGCCTCCAAAGAGGAGATAGACGCTCCAAATTGAACGTTGATCAAATAAATAAAATGACATTAGGTGCATGGAATCTTTAAGCTATATTAATTAGTCGGAACATTGTAGTATTAAATGGAGAATTTATACAATTGCCACCAATTTTTACATTTAGAGTGTGTATGATTGACTTTATTTTTCATGAAAAATATCATTTTTTTCATCTAAATTCCTATTTTTGGAATGTTTGATTTACACTTTTTTAATGAAAAATATTTCCAACTTTTTGGTCATGTGACCATATTTTCTTAAAAAACAAGGAAAATATTTTGTTTGGGAGATGGTGATTTTTATTTTTCAAGTAATTCACTCCCTCTTTCTCTCTCTCATATATCACATATCTCTCATCTACCAAATAATAAAAAAGACTAAGTATAATATTTTTTAGGTTGAAAATTAAATTAATCAAACGCTTTTAAATAATAATTTTCATACAATAAGTTCTCGACAATTGAATTGCGTAAAATTTATTTTCTTTTTATACAAATTTCATACTCGCAATCAAACACATTCTTAGTATCTTTTAAACTAGTGAAATGTGAACTGCTAATTTCTCTCCTGAAGATTAAAAACAGTTGAATTAAACCGTTTTGCCAGAAAAACTTGACCCTTTAGTCGACATCCTCTCACATTCGGTGGGACCCACGCAAGGCCCATATGAATTAAAAAAGAAAAAAAAATTCCCCTCTCCCCCCTATTGTGAGGGATATGTGTCTGTCGGGGAGGGTGTCAAACCCTCCCTAGCACCCCTAGTATTGTTCAAAATAGTTTAGTTAGACCACCGAGTCATTCATCCACTCATTCTTTAACTGAAATTCATACGTGTCATCGTTCAGTAGTTATTTAGTTCAATGATGTAATGTGCCATGCGTGATACTCACCACCACCACGTAGATCGAATGCTAAAACATGAGAATTTTTTTTTTATTTTATTCTTGAATTGCTAAATCTATTTTGGTCCCCAAATCCAAAGATCCCATGATATCTTGCATATTCATTTTAAAAATGAATGCTTGAGTAATGTAGTGCTATAGTTGAAACAATTTATATATTTCGGTAAAGTAAATAAAATGATTTAAAGTTCAGTGGTATAAGTGATACTAAGTGAGGTATGGCACATAAGCGTGGGTGTCATGCGTCTCGAAAAAAAGAAGGTGCAAAGTTTGTTAGCAATTAGTATAGTTTACACGTATTAGTCACAAATAAGGCTGGACAAAAATTTCTAATTGATCCAGATCGGGATTGAACCAAGCGATTTGGTTCGGTAATTTTTAAGTTAAATACTCGAATGGTATAAGAATAGAGAACTAGAGGGTTCGATTCGGTTCGATTCTAGATTATAGACAAAAAAACCGAATAAAAACAAAATCTCCTTAATTTTTTATATTAAACAAACTAAATTATTTTAATTTTTAAAATAAATTTGAGAAATAATTAATTGAGCCCAAAAATATAATTTTCTTGTTTCTTTTGCCAACCAATTAATTGACCATAAAATATCATTTTCGTGTTTTCAATTCAAGCCCAACTTTTTAATTTACATTTCAAATAATTATAATTGTGTGACCTAAATTTTTTTCAATCATTCTGTTGTTTTTCAAATAATCGAAAAATCAAAAATTCAGTACAGATGGTTGCGCATCTCTTCATCTTACTCTTTTTCTACTCTATTAATGGAATTTCATCCATTTTGATCTAGGTAAGCTTCGTCTAATTCCTTTCTAATAATTTCTCGTGCTTCAATGTATAAATATTATAATTTATAGCTAGTGTTCAAAATGTTTATTGTGAGCTCATGCATTTGTATGTTTCCTCTCTCATCTACTACCTTCCTTTCTAATAATTTCTCACACTTGGACTACGTTATTTTGTAAGAGTTAAAATTGAACATGTTATCTGTTGTATTAATGTAGTAGTGTTGTAAATGTTAAAAATTTAATTATGATACAGAATCGAATCGAACGGAACCGAACTGGTATGATTTCATAATTAAATTTAGACCTGACAGTTTTGCTTACTAAATATCCAAAAAAAATGGTTCGATTCGATTCGGTTCGGTTTGGTTTGGTACAATTCTCTTTAGAATCAAACCAAATCGGACCATATCTTGCCCTAGTCATAAACTTTAGTAATAATAAGTTCTTATTCTATTTATTTGGTGTATTAAGTCTACAAACTTTAATTGTTTTAGCACATAGTCCCGGTTAATTGGACGGTTTCTATAACTACCGATCATGATGTTACATAATTGATAAGTTGGGGACTTAAATTCCAAAGAAATAAAATGAGGAACCAATTGCTACTAAATAAATAGGTTGAGAACTAATGAAGCAATTTTCCCTTAACTAGTCCATTTTATTTTTTTAAATTATGTGCTCCATTATTAACGGGATTACTGATTAATTAGGCTAGGTCAAGATCATCGGATCACATCATAAATCATTAATAAGTTTGTAATAATTATTAATTTGGTTTGACCGTATTCAACCCGGGGTCAATCACGATTAATAGAGGTAAACAGGGGTTGTTTAACTATCGTGAGTCACTGCAGGTTTGCAAACTGCGGTTGACTGCGATATTTTTTTTATGCTAAACATGAGGAAAATTCCCAAGTCTATTATGCAATCGTATTTTCTATAAGCAATGCATTATAAAAATTAAATAGCTGAATGTTAAAAAAAAATGGGTTTACTTCCCATTAATTTCTTCGTTTTAGTTTCAAACTAGACTTTGGCTAAATATTGATCATGGTGGCTCAAGTCAAAATGTACTGGCTTTGCACTTTTTGCAATTTTCAGCCTTACATCGTCACTTTATCATGTTTTATCCTTCCAAATCCTTACACTTGCTCCTCCTTAGTAGTAGGTAATTTTACAACCGATATATTGACTATGATTTCTAACAATTGTACCACATACATGTAGCAATTACATTAATCCTTTCCTCTTTTTTCCACTTTTGAAGTCTTTGAAGACAGAATTGGGGGTAGATATTCATGTGATTTTGGAGTCGTCTTTGGATCCCCGGTGTCAATTTGCTCATCTTCAACAACTCTAATGACTAGCACTTTCTCCTTCGGAACGGTCTCAATATTTCTTGGTAAAGCACCTTGAGGACCTATCTGACCTATTTGAGTTTCCAAACTTTTGATGACTAACAAATTATTTTGAAAGTTTGTTTCGGTCTTTACCAAGAACTGCTCAGTTAATGGCCTATTTTTTCATGAATTTACCCAACATCTCCTCAATTGAAGGTTTATTATTTTTTTGTTGAAACCTAGGAGATGGCTACTGACTATTATTTTGGTTGTTACCACAAAATAAAATAGGATAATTACTATTACGGGTCCATGTCAGACCCTCCACCTTGACTGCCATGTATCAGCGTATGTGGCCAATCTACGGATTGGCCGAGGCGATTACACATGGGACAATCTGATTGTATCCACCGAAGTGACTGCCTCTTGGAACGAGCTAAATATACACCAGCGAATGAACCGGACTCATCCACAAATACGCGGTGGATGCAAAGGCCCGTACTCCGCCTCCACAACACTACAACTCCCCCTTGCCTCGCCTCATCATCAAAGATCTATTGTACAAAGATCTTTCCAAAGTCAAATCCCTAGCTGATGGGACGTGGACAAGTCCCCAAACGATCAACTCAGCTGCCATGTCAGAAAATATTAAATGTCAGCCAGCCTATGGATGGACAGATTGACACCTAGGATGGGGCAAATTTTGGTGATCTAGCAACACGTGTCTCCTCATCCAACGGTTCCCCTCTTCCCATCCTTAGTATAAATATTCCCTCCTTATGGCTGAAGAAGGGGGACTTTCTAAGAGATTCAAGACACTACTATACTAAACACTTGGGTATTATTTTCTCCCCCACATTGTGGGCACTTTTATTAATATATACATTCTCAAACCACTGACGTGCCACGTGTGCAGGGAGGAGCTGACTTGAAGACATCTTCTGTTGGCCATGTGTCGTAGCCATTTTTCGAGGTCAACAAATTGGCGCCGTCTGTGGGAATCAACTTAACCACGAGTTTTCCCACCAAAAAGCTGCTTGAACATTCAGTTGATATTCCCCATTTAGGAAAAGGACTGATTCTTGAAAGAAGGATCCTTCAGCAGCTTCGGGACATGAGTTCCAGCAATGAAGGGGGAAATGCAGGGGCAAGGAACGTCTCTGAAGAAGGGATTATCCGCACCAATGTCAATCAACAACGACATCACCACCATTACCGTCGAGGTGGGAGAACTGCCTCGCGTTTAACGGCCGAAGTAGCCCAAATGGTTGCCAACATGAAGGCCATCGGGGCTCAGAACGCAGCCATGCAAGAGCTTCTCAGGCAAGTGCAAAGTCAGGGCGGTTTTCAAGTCCCACAATATCCCCAACAATCTACTCATAGACATGTAAAGGCGGAATCCAGTAGGAGAACTCACGTGAGTCCCCAGAGGGAAGCTCTTGTTGAAAGAGAGGTGGGGGTGGACACTTCTAACTATACTGTCGCCCCAGTCAGCGTCCCATCAAGAAAATACAATTTTCCTCCAAAGTACGAGGAGCAACCTCAGAGATCTGTTAGCATTTTTTATCGGATCGGAGAGGCGAAGTCAAGTGGACTGGGGAAATACAGCTGAAACAGCTCAACATCCACCCCGTCCAGCAGCAAATGGGAACGAATCGGATGAACCCTATAGGTCGTACGAGCTGGACGACGATGATGACAACTTACCTTTCTCCAGAGAGCTTCGCAACTTTCCAATGCCTCAAAACTTCGTTCCTCCAAAAATCCCCAAATACGAAGGAAAATGTGATCCGAAAAAGCACATCAACGAGTACAAAACACAGAT